ACCACCCATACGTAAAATGTATGCATGCATGACGGTAAGTCGCTTTGGATAAAAGTGTTAGCTAAATGGCATATATTATTATTATTATTATTATCATTAGCAAACCTGGAAATTAGCAATGGAAATTATTGACCCACTTCTAGTTAAAGTTATTGTCATGCATGAGAATGAGTCATGCTATTTGATATTTTCAAAAGTGCTTTCCTGCTTGATTTTGACCCAACTGTATGCTGTATAAGGTCTTGAACAGTGTCTTTCTCCCACGCGCTGTTTTATGAGTCTGGAACTCACACAAATTCATGCACAATTTATGCAGTGTTGGCTCAACAAACATAGACGATTGGGGATATGAGAGATAAAAGCTTTTCAGTGACAGGAGAAAGAGAAATCCATGGCAAGACAATCAGTACAAATTATGTAATTCTGTGAACCAGTGAGAACAAAACTCTAGGCTAATTGGAAGAGAGATCCCTTTCACTGAATACACAGCACACATGCTGACAGACTCTAACTGGGATAGGACAAGTGTTCTACCTCTCTGTGTTGTATGTGTGGATAGGTAGGTTTAATTCAGTTCTAGTACCTACCTAAAGGAAGCTTTATTTGACCACTTTGTCAGCAAACTTACCTTTGGCACAGACAAACATGTCTAAAGATGACTTAAAGGAAGGATTAATCTGTTCTGTAAGGCAGCGGGAAGAGGTATAGGCAAAGCGGTGGTGTCTTTTTCCCAGGACCATGGATTAGTCTCCCCATCCTAAGAGGTTACAGTAGAACTGTCACTTTCCCTGTCAGGGCAACGCCTACTGCGTTTGAAGCTCCCAGCGGGAGATTGCCGGTCAGGGCAATAGGGAGACACTGTGTGAGTGTGTATGCGCGCATGTGTGTGTGTGCAGGTGTGTTTGCGCATGTGTGTGTATGTGCGTGCGTGAGTGTGTTAAGTATATTCATACGAAAACTCTGAATCAGCTCTTCTGGCATGCACAATTCTATTGTATTCACCCCGTATTCCCTCTCTCTAATCTCATCCCTTCCTTCCTGCCCCTGGCTCACTCCATCCTTCTCCATGGGTACCACTCAGCTCTGTGCTTAAGCCCTGGCCTAGTTCAGTTCTCATGCTGACTTATGTTTAGGGCTGCCAGAGATTTTCTGTGATCCAGTCAAGGACCTAGGGGACTGGTGACCCTGAGGAACTAGGGCGCTGAGTCGGCCTGCTGGCAAAACACTGCAATTTTGAGTGAAAGTCTTTTCCCACTTGAAATATATATTTTTATTTGATTCTACAAAGAGATTAAATGAGTGGTCCCTGTGGTGTCAGGTTTATTCAGTTGATGCAAATATTGCTGAAGTGAATAATTTCAATTAGCATTCCAATTATACATTTAATTTACTGTTTGCCTTTTTCTTCCTCAATACCTAGGGTATGTAATGAACCCTAATTGACAATGACAATCATCATTCACTCAAATATCAAACGCTTTTTGTAGCTTATTAACGTTATAAAGGAGGTCCAAACTTAATTTGAGAGGAAATTGTTCTAAATATGAAATTCCTTTGTCTTTCATTTACATGTTAAAAAGAGTTGTTTACTGCACACTAAATTAGAGGGTGCAAAATAACAAAAAATTATGTTACTATAATGTTTCATGACTCATGAAGTGTCTTCCTGTCACTTACTGTAGATGACAGGCGGACGTCCTAGGAGACACGCTTTAAGCACTTAGCAGGGTTTGAAACTTAATGGAACACTTTTAATTGAAAAGGGACTGATGAGGCTGGTGCTGCTGATGTTTTCTGCTGCGCCTGTCGTGTTCCATTGTCAGGGTGCCCTCACCCTCCCCAGGCACCGAGACCATGCTACTTTTCATTAGCCTCTGCTAGTCCTAACCAGCCTGATAGTCAGGACTGCTGCATGGCCCGTGACTCGACCACGAGGTGGAAATTAAGGCTGTTAGCCGTATCTAATCATCATTAGAACTTTAGGGAACAAGGACACTAAATGACTTTGGCTGATGCAATTTTTCTCTGCCTCAACATTTCTTGTTCCAAAACTCTTTGTTCAAAAGACTCTATTATACCTTATATCCTCTTCTGTCTATTCTTTGTACCTCTCTGCCCCATCACTCCTTCTCTCATGTCTGCCAATCTAATCTCTTTCTGTGATGCTTTCCATTTGTTCCTTTCTATTCACTTTTTTGGCATTTCTCCTTCTCCTTATATCTTTCACCTCTGCACTCCTCCATCCCTCTCTCTCGTTCCTCTCCCATCCCTCTGCAGGAGTGCCAAGCCCAGCTGGAGGAGATGCGTGTGGCCATCAGGCAGCTGGAGGAGGACCTGTCTGCGGCCCGTCGTCGTAGCGACTTGTACGAGTCGGAGCTGAAGGAGTCCCGTCAGACCAGCGAAGAGCTGAAGAGGAAAGCAGCAGACTATCAACAGAGGATGCAGAAGGTAATTATTCACTCTGATATTGATCTCTTGACTCTAACCCACATTCAGAGAACTTGAAAGGCATGTATTGGTTTTGAAAGCAGGAGGTTTTACTGATTTTCTGCTTATCTTCTCACAGGCCAAGGAGCAAGGAAAGACTGATACGGAGGAGCTTCTGTCAAAGCTGGAGAAGGTACAGCTTCAGTCCTATTGGCTCATGTTGATCTCCTTTTGACCTCCTGTATGGTCCTACAGTATATTGTCCTTAAAGTAATGTTCAGTGGTTAGGAGACAAATGATCCCATTAAACCATGAAGATGGTTTGGGACTGAACTCATAGGGACTGTGGAATATTTAGCTTAAAAGGTTGTTTTTCTCTCTATTTCTCTGTTTCAGACCAACACTGAACAGCAAGGGAAAATTCAGGATCTCCAAGATAAGCTTGCCAAGGTAGAATATTTCTGTTGAAAACGTCATTGATAATTCATATTCAGCATATGTTCTAAGGGAATAATAGATGCTCACCACACACAGACATGTGAATGTCCTCTCTCTCCTGCTAATGATGTGTGTCAACTCCCCATTGTCCTGTAAAGCAGATGTTGAATTGTGGCCTGAGAGTAATTCAACTGTCTCATAATTAGTCAGTTTCTGCTTAATTGCCAGCTATCAAAATGTTTTTCAGACAATGTTGGTTTCTCCATGTATTATGTTTTATAGAGATGACTACATAAAATTAAGACATTTTCAGAATAACTCTAAAGCCATTTCCAAATAGAATTCTCCAGGCTGTATGGGCCCATATTTTAGAGGCACAATCAATCAACATTGTACCCAGTATTCTAGGCTATTCATGCATGCAACTATCAATAAAGCCTTCAGAGCTTAACCTATGACAGTTTAACGTTATGTAAATGTCAGATAGGTGACAGAAAGTGTTTGTTGTTCCCCGGCCCATAACACAGGCAGTGAAGGCGAGTAGTGAGACCACAGATCTCCTCCATAGCATCAGGGTGGCTAAGGAGCGCATGGAGCGTGAACTGGAGAGGCTTCAGACCAAGGAGGACTCCAGTGACAGCCTCCGTAGACGCCTGAGAGAGACAGAGGTATACAGTACTGACTGATCAGACCATAACTACAACAACAAAGAAAGGACTCATTGAAAAAAGAGAGCTGGATAAACTCACTTTTACTGGGGGCAGCAGACTTTCTCTAGCCCGAGTGGTGTGTGTGTGTGTGTGTGTGTGTGTGTGTGTGCGTGTGCGTGTGTGTGTGTGTGCACGTGTGTATGTGCGTGTGCGCGTTTGTTTGTGCGCATGCGCACGTGTGTGCGTGTGCGTGTGTGTGTGTAGGATGGCAGGAAGACCCTGGAGAACCAGGTGAAGAGGCTGGAGATAGTTGAGCGCAGGGAGAGTAAGCTGAAGGAGGACATGCAGAGCAAGGCCCAGCAGATCCAGCAGATGGCTGATAAAATCATGGTAAGGGGAGGGGAAAGAGGCCCCCTCAGCCCCCCTCTGGCCCTCACAACGTTGCCCTTCTTTGGAGGATTACTCTCCATCAGAGTGATTATCACATAAGCCCTCCAGGACATATGTGTGCTCACAGCTCATATACACACACACACACTCTTAGGTACACACACATACTCACACTCACTCACCTTATTATTCAGTCTGCGCCAAATCCTAACTTGAGATCTGTGTTCGTGTAATTTTCGAGCATCTCCCATTGACATCAGTCAATGGGCTCCCGAGTGGCGCAGCGGTCTAAGGCACTGCATCTCAGTGCTTGAGGCGTCACTACAGACCCCCTGGTTCGATTCCAGGCTGTATCACAACCGGACGTGATTGGGAGTCCCATAGGGCAGCGCACAATTGGCCCAGCGTCGTTCGGGTTTGGCCGGTGTAGGCCGTCATTGTAAATAAGAATTTGTTCTTAACTGACTTGCCTAGTTAAATAAAGGTTCAATAAAAAATAAAATAAATAAAAATCAGTGATGATCTAACATTAGGATTCAGCCCTCACTACCTGGGGGTCATTCATAGTGTGCTTTCTCTCTGTCTCAGACCCAAATGTGACAGATTGTGAACACATATTTTATTTATTTTGCATTTTATCCTTGCTCTACTGCATAATATCATGGTGTTGTGTCCTGACTTGAAAAGGGTGAATAAACAATGTACTGTAACGTGTTTGTTTGCATAGGACCTGGAGGAGAGTCTGCGTGGGAGCCAGTCCACAGCCCAACGTGTGGAGACCCACCTGGAGCAGAAGGAGAAGCTCTATGAAGAGAAGTTCAAGGTAGAGCTTCAGAGCCTCAGCGGCTTTCTCCTGTTTATCACACACATTCAGGAGAGCATCATGTTAAGGACTACTGGTGTATCCAGACTGTTAGGGGAGGTTGTCAGCTTTAACTAGGGCCCAGAGTTTTTCCTGGGCAGGTCCCTTGGTCAGTAAAAGTCTGACTGGGCCTTGATCCTGAGCTGTAGCCTGGTTGATATTGTGTTGTATCTCTCTCTTATATTAACCAGTTTCTGGAGAACCAGATGAAGGCAGACATGGCAGATAAGGAGATGCTGGAATCCAGTCAGAGCAAGTATGAGGAGGAGGTCCAGGAGAAGTGCAGCATCATCAGTGAGCAGAAGGCGGTAAGAGCTGGCCAGCCTAGTTAGGATGTGGCCAGGCCTATTTTCACATTACACTGAATTTGTTTATTTTTCACATTAATCACACTGGCTTGGTTTATTTCAAACTTGCAAGAACCTGTTGAAAGGCTACTGTCATATATTCTACATATACTGTATTGTTTTGACAATAGTAGTGAGCATTCGATAAATGAGGTGTGTTGAAACTTGACTCTTCTGTCCATCCCAGACCATCAATGCCATGGACTCAAAGATGGCCAGCCTGGAGCAGAGGATTGCTGAGCTGTCTGAGGCCAACAAACTGGCAGCCAACAGCAGTATCTACACCCAGAAGAACATGTGAGTGTTGTGGACTAGTTAAGAACATGTGAGTGTTGTGGACTAGTTGGTTAGTTAGTTAGTTTGGAGAATTCGCCACACAGTGATACTGACTGTGCTGCGTGTCTGTTTATCTGTCTGGGCCTGACAGGAAAGCCCAGGAGGAGATGATCTCGGAGCTGAGGCAGCAGAAGTTCTACCTGGAGTCCCAGGCTGGGAAGCTGGAGGCCCAGAACGCCAAGCTGGAGGAACACCTGGAGAAGATGAGCCAGCAGGAGCAGAGCAACAAGAGCCGAGTGCTGGAGCTGGAGACCAGGCTGAGAGAGGTGAGGAGAGAAGGAGGAGGAGAGGGGGAGGTGAGGAGGACAGAGAGGGAAGGAGAGGGCAGAAATGTTAGGGTCACAGGAAGGAGGAGAGGGGAGTGCAGGTGAGTAGAGGTGGAAAAGAGGGCAAGGAGCCAGGAGAGCAGTCGGGGAGTTGGCAGAGAGGGATGCCAGATGGAGGGGTTATGTAGGGTGAAATGGTGCACTCTGCTGTAGGTTGCTGTTTTGCCAGATCAGCATATCTCTGATTTTCTCATCCCCCTGGGTGACTCAACTCTCTGACTCTCTCCTTCCTCTGGATGATGCAACTCTCTGACTCTCTCATTCCTCTGGGTGACTCAACTCTCTGACTCTCTCCTTCCTCTGGGTGACTCAACTCTCTGACTCTCTCCTTCCTCTAGGTGACTCAACTCTCTGACTCTCTCCTTCCTCTGGGTGACTCATCTCTCTGACTCTCCTTCCTCTGGGTGACTCAACTCTCTGACTCTCTCCTTCCTCTGGGTGACTCATCTCTCTGACTCTCCTTCCTCTGGGTGACTCAACTCTCTGACTCTCTCCTTCCTCTGGGTGACTAAACTATTTGACTATCTCATCCCTCTGGCTGACTCAACTCTCTGACTCTCTCCTTCCTCTGGGTGACTCAACTATTTGACTATCTCATCCCTCTGGGTGACTCAACTCTCTGACTCTCTCCTTCCTCTCCCTGACCCCTTTCTGTCTCTCTGTGTGTCCGTCATGCCGTTAGATGGGCCTTGAGCACGAGGAGCAGAAGCTGGAGATCAAGCGTCAGGTGACGGAGCTGACTCTGTCGCTGCAGGAGAGGGTTTCTCAGATCAGTGGGCTGCAGGCGGCACGCCATTCCCTGGAGAGTCAGCTGCAGCAGGCCAAGTCAGAGCTGGAGGACACCACCACTGAGGCTGAGGAGGAAATATGTGTTCTTAGAGTGAGTGCAGGAGGGACATACTGTAACAGTCTATTGTTAGTACTCCTGTTATTACTATGCTATTATGAAGTACTGTAGTACCAAACCTGTCCCTCTCTCTATCTGTCTGGTAGGCCCACCGAGACGAGATCCAGCGCAAGTATGATGCCCTCAGAGACAGCTGTGCGGTATGCCACCCTTTTCTCTCTCTCTCTCTCTCTCTCTCTCTCTCTCTCTCTCTCTCTCTCTCTCTCTCTCTCTCTCTCTCTCTCTCTGTCGCTCTCTCTCTCTGTCGCTCTCTCTCTCTCTCTCTCTCTCTCTCTCTCTCTCTCTCGCTCTCTCTCTCTATCTATTCTCTATATTCTCTCTATTCTCGCTCACTCTCTCCACAATAAGAAGGAATTAACTGAGTTGAATCAGATACGATCAGCTATTATAGATTTCACTTTTTCAGGAAAAAGTAGACCAAACAATCCCTCTGTTTTCAATCCCCACTGCTATTTGTACTATATTATGCTGTTCCTCAATTATTCTAGCCAAGAATAGAACTTAGTCTTGTATTAAGGTTGATGTAATGAAAAATGTATACCCATATCTTATATTTTCATATCTCTTTGTTGGCGAGCGTGTGAAGACTAACCCTGAGAAGATGAGGTTATTGTGTTGTGGTGGGGGATTTAAAAACATTTAAAGTCACATTGTTTGAATCACCGCTGGGTCTCATTGTGGTTAATACATCATGGTCTCTCTTTATCCCCTTGCTGTACTTTTGAGATCCTCCCACTCGCAAGCTGTTGAGAAAAAGCATTCTCCCTAGATTCAGCTGGCTGGTATTCAGGCAATCACTCCCAAGTTCAGAAACAAATTGTACCTAGCTTTATACCTGGCTCCCCATTTTTTCTATTTAGATTATTAATAACACAGTACTTCTGGCAGCCGTCCACCATTCGGAAACAACAGAAATGAAACATGGGTAAGGTTCCATTGACATGGGGTAGTAGTGTATCAACAACCGATAATGTTATGTACCGGGGAGTGTTATGTAACAAGACTGTTGGTAAATAGCTAGGTTTTGATTAGTGAATTCTAACCAAACCCACTGTAATTAAAATCACTGTAATGAATGAAACATTCTGAGGTTAGCACCAGTGTTTACCTACCCTGGGTGCTGCTAGTGGACTGTACTGTACTGTGTTTCTGTGTATATGAAGGAGACTACAGTACTACAAACTAGTCTTGCTTAGGGGTGGGGTGGTGTGTGTGGGCGTGTCTACACAGTACGATGGGGTGAGAACATTGCTGATAGACAGATCACAGCGCATCAGTCCCACTGTTGACCTCCCATTTCCTCGTAGTATTTTGGCACTTCTGTCAGTCCCTAGCCCTAGAGGGAATGGTTGGGATGACTGGCTCAGTAGAAACAGGAGAGAGAGATGATTTACATACAGAAAAGCTTTGTTCACTTCACTCCACTGCCCTGTAGTTCTGCATGATACACAGCAGCCAGGCTCCCCAGAGAGAGGAATAACATCTAACTGAGCTTCAGCAGCCTCTAACCCTCATTTGCATACAGTCTGTACTATTATCCTGGCTGATTAAGAGGACCGAATGGTGCTGATGAATTGATTATTCAGCTCCCTGCTCAGCCTTGAGAAAGACATGGCTGTCTGAGAGAAGAAAGTTTGCTTGGATATTTATCTGTAATTGCAAAATGGGTGCCTTTGTATGCTGTAATGTAGCATTCACTAAAGGAAACTCACATTGATTGTCTCAATTGTATGGCAATCCAGCAAGGCGCTGGTGAGGACTTTTCACTCTTGTCCGTCAACTGCCATTTAAATTATGAGTCATATGCCCCCCTCCCATTGATTGATCATTCTATTTCACTACATACAGATGGAGGATCTTAATTTCAGCCAGTTTGCTACAGCAGGAAAATAATCCTGCAGCAACAGGAAATGTGAATTATTATGTGGATTATAATTCATGAACATTTTTGTAGGGGTTGATGCATTTTTCATAAGGGAAAATCAAGTCTGAAATTTCAAAGTGGAAATTACAAACTTCAGAAGACTTTTTTAAACCTCAAATACACTACAAGTTTGACATTTTGCTGCATTACAGGAAAGTTATCCTGCAACAGGGTGATCAAATTAAGATCCTACATCTGTAATGAACAGGTACAGTGCATTCGGAAAGTATTCAGACCCCTTGAGTTTTTCCACATTTGTTACGTTACAGCCTTATTCTAAAATGGATTAAATAAAAAAATGGCCTCATCAATCTACACACAATACCCCATAATTACAAAGGAAAAACAGGTTTTTCGATATTTAATTTAATTTTTTTAATAAAGTAAATATCACATTTACATAAGTATTCAGACCCTTTACTTAGTACTTTGTTGAAGCACCTTTGGCAGTGATTACAGCCTCAAGTCTTCTTGGGTATAACGATACAAGCTTGGCACACCAATATTTGGGGAGTTTCTCCCATTCTTCTCTGCAGATCCTCTCAAGCTCTGTCAGGTTGGATGGGGAGCGTCGCTGCACAGCTATTTTCAGGTCTCTCCAGAGATGTTTGATCTGGTTCAAGTCCGGGCTCTGGCTGGGCCCCTCAAGGACATTCAGAGACTTGTCCTGAAGCCACTCCTGCATTGTCTTGGCTGTGTACTTAGTTTCGTTGTTTTGTTGGAAGGTGAACCTTCGCCCCAGTCTGAGGTCCATGTGTCTGGAGCAGGTTTTCATCTCTCTGTACTTTGCTCCGTTCATCTTTCCCTCGATCCTGACTAGTCTCCCAGTACCTGCCGCTGAAAAACATTCCCACAGCATGATGCTGCCACCACCATGCTTCACTGTAGGGAGGTGCCAGGTTTTTTCCAGACCTGACGCTTGGCATTCAGGCCAAAGAGTTCAATCTTGGTTTCATCAGACCAGAGAATCTTGTTTCTCATGGTCTTGGAGTCCTTCAGGTGCCTTTTGGCAAACTCCAAGTGGGCTGTTGTGCTTTTTACTGAAGAGTGGCTTCCTTCTGGCCACTTTACCATAAAGACCTGATCGGTGGAGTGCTGCAGAGATGGTTGTCCTTGTGGAAGGTTCTCCCATCTCCACAGAGGAACTCTGGGGGTCTGTCAGAGTGACCATCAGGTTCTTGGTCACCTCCCTGACCAAGGCCCTTCTCCCCCGATTGCTCAGTTTGGCCTGGCGGACAGCTTTAGGAAGAGTCTTGGTGGTTCCAAACTTCTTCCATTTAAGAATGATGGAGGCCACTGTGTTCTTGGGGACCTTCAATGCTGCAGACATTTTTTGGTACCCTTCCCCAGATCTGTGCCTCAACACAATCCTGTCTCGGAGCTCTACGGACAATTCCTTCGACCTCATGGCTTGGTTTTTGCTCTGACATGCACTGTCAACTGTGCAACCTTATATCCAATCAATTGAATTTACCACAGGTGGACTCCAATCAAGTTGTAGAAACATCTCAAGGATGATCAATGGAAACAGGATGCACCTGAGCTCAATTCTGCAGTAGTATACATCTTGCAGTATTATACATTCAAATGATATAATATTGTGGAGAGGCTGGTAATGAGCCTAATGTAATACGTCTCCCTCCCTCCTTTCAGGTGATCACAGACCTGGAGGAGCAGCTGACCCAGCTGACCAAGGAGAACTCTGAACTGAACCGTCAGAACTTCTACCTGTCCAAGCAGCTGGACGAGGCCACGGACGAGACAGAGGACCGCCTGCTGCTGGGTCAGGATGTGGACCGCCTCCGCCACGAGGTGGCTGACCGCGAGATGCACCTCAACAACCAAAAACAGGTGTGACTAGGGTTGCAAAATTCCGGGAACTTTCAATATATTTCTTGGTTTTCCCGAAATCTCGGTTGAAAGATCCCGGAATCACGAGGGAAAAAGCAGGAAATCCGGTACCCTCCAACCAGAATTTCTGGAAAACCAGGGAATTTATTGAATGTTCACGGAATTTTGCAACCCTAGGTGTGACACATACACTCACACTCACTCACGACCATATGTACATAGTACTGTACAGAAAATACACACTATCATGTTAACAGAATAAGATAATAGAGAGCTCTCTCTCTCTATTTTCCTCTTTCTTTCACACAGACATTTCATTTCACATACCCCCAAACACACAAACTCACACACACATCTCTCCATACTCCTCAACAATCAATTATAGGTGACACAGACTTGCACACATACACACATACATGCACTTTACTTGCTAATGTGATTGAATGGAGAGTATAAATCAGGCAGAAGATACTTGACTGTTCTTTTGTTATGTAGCTCTCGCTCAGTGAGTGGATCGAGGAGAGGAGAGGAGAGGAGAGGAGAGGAGAGGAGAGGAGAGGAGAGGAGAGGAGAGGAGAGGAGAGGAGAGGAGAGGAGGGAGGGAGGGAGGGAGGGAGGGAGGGAGGGAGGGAGGGAGGGAGGGAGGGATGAGAAGAGAAG